TTCTGGAACAATTTTTTTCTTTTTCGGAGAAAAATGGTGAAGCAATTGGAAATTTGTGGCGAAAAAAGTTAAAAAGGTGACTTTCATTTACAAATAGGTCTCTTTAATAGCTAGCTTCATTTCCAAAAACAGTGTTTTAGATGGCTATGGCTAGGCGTAGAAAAGACTAAAGAATATAAAACGCTGACGGTTGAGAGGTGCAGAAATTCACTGAGTTCTCTCCGTGCGAGCTTTTTGAACATACATGTAATCGGCTTTTAAACAAGCAGCATGAAGTCAGACCCAGGTCTTTTTCCACGACCTTTCAGTAGTTTATATTCCGCAACACGAACAATCACACTTTGTTAGAGGGCGCTATCACAGCACAAATCTCTATGACAGTGCCCTGTATTTAACACATTACATGTACATGTACAATACATGTACGTATGTACGTGGATGGTTTGTGTCGTGCAACTACTGGAAGGTCTTGGAAACAAGACTAGTCCGACCCTCTTGTCTCAGTCTTGTTGAAGGTTGCACACATGGGTTCTGCAGGGGCAGATCCAGAATTTTTTTCGGGGGGGGGATCATGCCGGAGATGTTTTAATGTCTCATTTTAGTTGAGAAGCAGAAAATGATGAAATATGATACATGCCATACATTTTTTTTACAATGGTATTGGGGCACTAATTTTTAATTTTTGATTAAAAAAATTTCCCCCCTTTTTGCGCTCAGAGCAGGGGGATGGGTCAACCCCCTTACAACCCTGGAGCCGGGCCTCATCTGTTGGTCTGAAGACCTCTCGGACAACGCAAATTAAACATATGGACAACATCGTGCAAACCCTTTAATGCCAATACTAGTGGATCTTCGTTATTTGTTGAAGGGTGGTTACGCTTATTTGTTACCTTCACAGTCTTTTTAATAGTATTGTATCTTAGCTTTTTCAATGATTTTCGTGTAGAACAAAAAATAAAAGTGTAACAATCTCCCTCTTCAACAATTTACCCTAGTCTCCCTGAACCTTGTGGTACGGCTAAAGCAAGTGGAAGCAATGGCGTAATGCCGGTTTAACTAGAGTCGATAATGTCAACAAAACCAACAGTCTTTGACGATATGACTCAAGGTGGCGCTCTCCAGGGTGAGAACCACATACGCGTACTCAATTATTATGCATACCAAAGATGCGCTATGCGTCTATCGCCGGAAGTTGGAACACTTTAACTTCAAATTAAATATGTGTGTTTGCGTGGTCGGCTGGAAAAGACATCATCATAACAGGTACTTTTATAGGAGCCCATTCCCCTGACAAAATATGGGATATACCCCTCCCACAGCACGTGGCTTTACGCCCCTGGGGAGTTCAAATTGCTACGACGCACTGCTTAGTGAAGTGGATATTTATTTAGTGATTTAACTCCAGTTATGGATGACTTTTACCAGTGATAGCAATTAAAAACTTAAGCCATCTATCTCTACCATCTGTAGCATTCATTGTCATCGTGGCAGGCTTCTGTAAATCCAAGACATAAATCCAAATTGTTTTCAAGAAGTGAAAAAACCTCCATGTTCTGCAAAACAGGTATTTCCTCTTTCTCGGCACATTTTTGACAACAGTTTGTTGCTTTGCGTTTACTTTTTTGGCAGTGTCATGAAATGTAAGCCTTGTTCATTTGCAAGTCTTACTAAGTTGTAGTAATATTGCCTTGGTTAATCAGTAATTCATCAGTAAAAAAAAATCGACTTTGCGAATAAAGCAAGCCATGGAGGCCTTTATTTTGACCTATTACAATGGAAAGGTTTTTTCGTCATGTCATGAAAACAAACACCTAGGAAAATTGTTATGCTGAATATGTAAAACTGTTTAACTTTAAGAGGTGCGCAAGTTTTTTTTTTCAACGTCGATTGCGTGCATGCATACACTGGAATCCTGACTTGCGCAGACCACGTTGTGGTTCTTTGAATCCAAACTAATAAAATGGTTGGAAAAAAAATCCACACCAATACTACTGGACCGCGCAAGTTTTTTCTTTTTTTATTTTATCGAAACACCGACAAAACGTGGAAATCGATTGCGGTAACCATCAATTTAAAGCATAATCTGAACCTGGCCTTTTCTTGATTAACACTCATTTTGCCACTAGCGCTTGATTATCTGCGCCCAGGCCTTTCAGTGCACACATGCTTGGTCAAAACAAAAATGTTGCCAAATCTCTAATGGATACGACAACCGTTGGATAGGACAAGGACGAACCAATAGGCATTTATTTCAGTCGCGTGGTTATACCTCACGCCGCACCATAACCGGGAGCGGGTAATTAAAAACACATCACTGTATGGCTGACACGCTTTTCGGGTATACCGGTAGGATTTGTTTTAAGTGAGATATCACCAAACACGCATACTGGTACTCGATTAATTTAAATGTTGACCGACCGTCCAGACAGGAGTGCAGGGGTTTTCCTCGAGTCGTTTCGCTTTGATGTTTTTTTCTGCTAGCCTTGACCAACACTCTTGATAGCTTTTCGCTTTCGCTCGAGTGCGTAGCAAACTAATGCGTGTCTGCTCCATTTATATCCTTGTCTATCCAGCATTCACGGGGGAATATTCGGCGTTCATAAATGACTATAGACTAATAGCTTGAGAGGCACTTTGCTTACCGCTGCCTCACCGGAACGACCGGCTCCCAGTTTGCCATTCGGACAAGGTAGGGTCGCAGCTTGAATTCTTTCCTTAAACACTCGCATCAAGCTTGAGTCAGTCTTGAAATAAAATTTCACTGGCTTCCATTTTAGTTTTGCTGGAAGCAGCGAATCAGAGTCAACCTGATCACCCCTGGGCCTAGACCTTTTTAATTTCCCATTCTGGTGAATAAGAGGGTGGTACTTGAATCAGGTATCTAGTAGCCGTATTGAGGTCTTACTATTTAGGTCGTATTGGCGTTTGTCTGTCACTCACTATCTCACACAATAAATCTCCGAAACCCTTTTTCAACAAGGTGATGTGCATGAAATTGAAATTCGACATGAACTCGTACCTTGATATCAATTTTGACGGTGCTGGGCGAATCGATTTTTTCTTTGAAACTGCCGGTGGCATATATAACGATAAAAAAGAACGAGGAACGTTAACAGTCTTCGCGTTGCAATTGCCTCATTATTGTGCATAAGGCTAATTGGAACTGGAGTTAAATCGAAAAATTTGGGAGAGTGCCAGTTTTGTCGTATGTAATCGGCTGAATTCCACGCCTGAAGTCAAAGGAAACCGAGTACCCCATATTCCAAAACAAACTTCGGAGTATCGCCATGCCGCGGTGGTGATTTTCGCCTACCAACAGCCTCAAAACATGTCGACGGCGACGGCGAGATGTTTTCAATTGGATTGCCCATTGCTCCCGCAGCGCCAGACTGGCGATCGACCATATTCAAAAACAGTTCAGCACTACGTACCTGCATCTTGGCAAATGCGAACTAATGCTTTTAATTTTAATTTCAATTCGCGTGCGTGCTCGCAGTTATGAGGTCTCTCCAACTAGCTACACGCTGGCGGTTGTACCAGCAGATGTATGAACTAACTTTTACAAGTTTATAGCATTGTGGCATTTAATAATGCTTGGGATATCGAATAAACACCGTCAATTTTTTTAGTAAGTCAAGGCTGGGAAAAAGCTCTACGTAAAGCCAAATGGTTATAGCAGTATAAAAGCAGCCACAATAATATCGATTCATTTTTGTTCAGAAGCTCGGATGTTCTACTGTGGTGAGTCTAGTTTCCTATTTTCGTTACTCAACTAAGGATCATAATTGTAATTACCGAAAATGGGTCACTTGGGATACATGCCCATAGGAACGTGCACAAAATGTTTCAAACTTTACCGTCCCATAATTCAATATTCCCTAACCTCATCGTAACCAAACTTTGCATGTTTTCCTTTCAGACCCTAATCTATCATCTCTCAAAATGTGGACTTAAACATTCTCCTCCTTTTGGTAGTTGAAGCATTAGGGAGACATAAATGACCGATGTCTCCCTAATGATGAAAAATGTACCACAAAATGTCTCCCAAGTGACCTATTTGGAAATATTAGGCTACAGATTATACACCCACTTAAAATATAAATATATTTCGTCCCAAACTTCTGACGCATCCATGACATTATAACATGTGGATAATCACAGTTCCCACGTGCAAACTTAGTTTGGAAAAAGGCCACTGCACATATTTTCAAAGTCCTTTTGCAGGAAAAATTCCCGCGGCGGTAGTCTCGTGACGATTAACTTGTAATTGCCACAGCAATGGTATCAATGCTTGGAAGAATTCCAAAAATAACATTAACTGCACCCTGGAGCTGTCAAACGCAATAGCTCTTTTGCACTTTTCTGTAACAGGAGTAGTCTGCTTAAATTAGAAGCAGAATATAATCCGAACAAGTAAAAACATGTCCAGTTAAAAAACAGATGCGTGATCTTGTTAACTTCACACTTACTGCTTACTAGGATCTTACATAAACGTTTTTTTCCCACTCGGGGCCTTTTATTCAAGCTTCTCTTGTGTATCACATAGGATTGAAAAGGAAAGAAATCAATACACGATCAGTTCACATTAGACATTAATCCATTACACTTCAAAGAAAGCATGAATACATAAAATACGTAAATTAAAAACTCTCAGCAAAATACTAACAATGAATTCTAGTACTTCCTGACGGTTTTAACATTACTGTCATTATTGGACAGTAATTAATTGTAAAAGTGACGGTCAGTGGCTAATGTAACTTCATGCATATTACAGAGTCACAGCATACAACCTTTTCCATGTATTACGGACTACATTTTTAGGGCTCCCTAAGTGCAAAATAATTAGTCAATCAGTATGATTACTTCTACATGTGTTATTGTATAAGAATGATTGTTACTACAAGATAACAGAGAGCGATTTTAATTGGTCAGGAATCCTGATAATATGATGAGTGATGTTCGACATGGTGTGTGCGTGGTGTACCCTCCACAGCGTTGTGTTGGCATAGAAAACCTTGGGTACGAGGTTGAACATCTGTTCTGCTTATAATGATGAATGAGACCAATCATTTCATGTGTACGAAATGTGCTGTAAGGTCACCATTTCTGCTACTACCACGGTTCTTGTTAACATATCGCTCGTTCGTGTTTGAGTTGGGTCAATTTCGCCATAATCTACTCGCAATGAGATTGCAATAAAAAGACAACTTGTTGTATTTCAGAACAGCTAGGTTTCTTCTTGTTTCCCAACGAGATCAGATATGTCATTATATTGCAGGGCAGCAGTATTATTTTCTCGTGTGAATTCCGCATCGCCGTAGGCGGGGGAGACCGCATAAATTTCACATATTACCCACGACAGAATTGTAACAGGCCTGCTGTCAGCGTTCCGTTGGGGACACGGTGTTCCTGCGTCAGGCAGACCCAGAGCATGAAGGAATACTGCGTTCGCAATGGAACACAGCACGTTCCAATGGACAGCCGAGGTTTCGAACGGGACCGTCACTGAGGACCGCGAACGTTGCCCAAGTCTTTCCGTAGATCTTTTTAGGGTATAGAGCAGTTTGTGATCGCAGAAATCACAGCATTGTTGTTGAGGAGAGTTGGGGGAAAAATGGTGAGAGAGGACGCAGATCAATCTCCCCGGCCCAGCCTGGAGCGAGAGTTTGCCGAGTCCACCAGCCTCCACGGCATCGCCAAGGTTTTCCACGCCAGTAGGCTCCTTGTCCGGGTCTTCTGGGTGATCATCATGCTGACGTGCCTGTGCGTCTGCGTCTGGCAGATCTCGGACCGGTTCCACCGGTTCCTGCAGTACAAGGCCAACACCGAGATCTCCGTGGAATACGTCGGGCACCTCCCGTTCCCCGCGGTCACCATCTGCAACTTCAACAGGTGGGTTACAGACTACTTGTGATTCCTTACGTACACTTTCTATATTTCCAATCTCGCCCAAGGTTGGGTAGAAGTCCTTCTGAATACATGTTGTAGGCAAAATGTACAGGGGCATAGCGACGCTTTGCTGACTGCAATATCCATTCTGCAGGGGATTCAGATTCAATTTTTAATTGATAGGATGAAGATTCCAGATTCGTTCCAAGTCTTTTTTTACCACGTTTGTTTATTTGTTTGTTTTTGTTCTGTTTTGGGGTTTTTTGGTCCATGCCGCCAACCTAGTGTAATTTCTTTTGCCAGTGTCACTTTGATTATTTGCAGTAAGTATCATTTTATAGGCAACAAGATGAAATCTAGGGAGTCACGCTTTGAGGGTTCCTGGTTATCTCGAAATGAGGGATAAGGAGACCGCGGAATTAGGTATGACCAGGTGATTAGTTTTGAGTGGATCCCCCAAATTTCTCTTGCAGATACCGCTCGGGAGCCTTGGCCCCGGGTGACGAAGACGCACTAGCCTACATTTGGGAACTAAGCAACTACCAGAACGACTATGATTACGAAGGAGAGAGCAACAGTACAGACAGCTCTTACTTGGACAGCCTGGTAGACTTCAACTACACTGAGTTCACGCTGAGGGCGGGCTTCCGCATGGACAACGTGACTTTGCTCGCCTGCTCGTGGCGAGGAAAGAGAAACAGCTGCTCTGCAGAGGTAACAGCTTCATTGCAGTTGGATGACGTTAACCCTAACCCCCTTGGTGGTATATAAAATAATATTGAAATCGGAGGATTTGGGACTTTTAACAAGTTTAACAGGTGTTGCGTAAATAGGTGAAGTCCATGAGTGCGTGTTAAATACTAAGCCTTCATCTGGTCTGATGTGCTGCAGGATTTTTCGCACGTGTTTACTTCCTACGGGAATTGCTGGACCTTCAACTCCGGTAAAACGGGCCCTGTTCTGACCGAAAGCTATTCTGGCAGCGGGAACGGTGTCTCGCTTCTGGTCGACATACAACAGGTATAATTTTACTTTAGTCAAGATAAAATGCCCGACACAAGGACTCGTAAGGCCACTCAAGGTCGAGAGATACAAGAACACAAATGACTTGGAAAATACAGAGCGAAGAGATAGCTGATAGCAATTAAAGAAAGTAACGAAAGATGCTTTGGAGGAATCTTGAAAACAGGATGACGATCTGGAGAATTCCAGGGTAGAGCAGCATGTAGACAGAAGCCTTTAAAATAACGTCTTGAAAGCGGCCTTGATACGCTCCACCGTACTGGGTTTATACATTCACAGGTTGGCCTATACAATCTGCCTTGATACGAATCACTAGTGCTTATACTCATTGCACGAGTTCATCCTAGCTCTGTTCTTCAAGTCAATGAAAAAAATCAACTCACAAGTCAATCCCAGGTAACAGGGAATGAAGATCGAAGAGTCTATGAATAGCGTGTGACTTGACTTGTAGCCTATTTCAACTGGCTGGCGCATGCACTGGTATAGAAAGATTCATTGTTTGTTTACCATCCCCCCAGAGCGAGTACACCGAAACAGAGACTATTGAGGCCGGTTTGAAGATCCAAGTGCACGATCAAGTAACCCCACCTACGGTCGAGTCATCGGGGCTTGCCTTATCGCCAGGCGTACACGCGTTCATGGCTGTTCGGAGACAACAGGTAATCCCTGAACTACAAGTTCTTTTGTAGGACTTTACTAAGAGCGTCTCAAATTTTTAAGGGGTTGTATTTGAGGGTCTCAATTTCGCGGCGGAACCCATTTAGTTAGGACAGCATTAAGTACAAAGCTCTTTGTACATCTTTGTGGAAGTTCTGAGGGAAGGATAAGGAGGAGACCATAAGTAGGAGGGGAACTCCCGGCGATGCCACTAGCGAGCTACGGCAAACAGAATCTGTAACTTTGCCCCTCTCGTCGAGGGATTGCCCAATCTGACGTCAAGGGGGAACAGACTTTATAGAGACTCCTGGCTAATCAATTTAGGTCGGAGGAATGGATATGGCAATGTACACACCGTATGCCAGGTGTTTATAAAATCTTTTTCCGGGTAGCATGACGATGACAAAGAGGCACCATAAGCGACTCCTGTTCAGCATGGGCGTGTTACATCGTCAGCACGGCGCGATATTATGTAAAAAAGTTCATTCCCGGTATTTCGAGGCCAGTCCAGTAAATTGACAGGAAATGCGTCACCGTCCTTTCTTTCAGTATTTAAATCTTGAGCACCCATACGGAAAATGCGACGCCTCCCGGACGCTGAAAAGATATGACAACTACACCTTGGAAGGATGCAACATTGAGTGCAGAGCAAACGCAGTTTGGGAAAAGTGCCGCTGTAGGCTTATACAGTAAGATCTATTCTCTTCTCCCGATGGAACCAAACCCTTAGTTTCACAATCCTTATAGATGCTAAATAAAAGAATATTTTGCAGCATTGATACCAACTGTTACCAGTATTCACGAGACACTCAGCATTCTACAATCAAGATTATATTGGGTAACAGCACCAAACAAATCCTGATATCTTTCATCTTCACAGACATCCAGGAAATGAAGTTGAATGTACGCCTGAAGAAGTCCGGTTCTGCGCAAGAGAAGCTATTGGTAAGGAAGTGTCGACATCGGTCGGAAAGCATCGCGAATTTTTGGACCATCTTACCGTAGGGGTGGGGATTTGCCTCCTTCCTAAGACATCGTCTTAATTCGACTGCTGATCTTTTGAAAAAATGTATATTTAAAGATGACCGTACATTATATATCTCTGAGAAGTTTCAGTTTACCCTAACATCCGGTTTGTGGCAGTGTTATGGTCATTTGTAGTTCACGAACCTCGCGGGTGTCAGCTTGCGGGCATCGAGCACGTCAGTGGAGAAAAACAATTTTAGGTGACCTGTCGGGGGAAAGTAGTGTCAAAATGATAGTAAGACATTACTAGGTAGAAATCCTCCCAAAGGAGTGGCGCACCCCCCACACACATTATATGGGCTTCTTTTGTGCAGAGGCCCACACTATGTACACAAAAAAGAGAGAGAACGTCGGGTCTCTGTTCAGTTAAATTGAGTAGATAAAAAGAGTAATTTACAATACATATCGGATTAATACGAGAACCCCACTGCGTCGACGGGGGCGGAGACGCAAGAGTGCCCGACCGCCTTGGAGAGATACAAAACGTAATCTTGTATGCTGGCGGAGTCCACAATAACATTCTTCATTAATTAGTCGTTGGAGCTCTGACATTTGCAAGGCAATTTCGCCCCTCTGGGGCACCCAATGCATGATACTGCATCGCTGGCGGTGGGTGGCCGCACCGTCCACTTTCGGCAGTCAGTGCTGATTTGCCCGGCTAAATTATCAACGCTCACGTGTAAAAATTGATTGTGTGAAAGGGAGAAATCGACAGCGCTGGAGAACACTCGGTAAACCACAGTGTAAAATCCCGCTTAGAGATTTGGTGTTCGAAAAAGAAGGACAACGCACTGTGCACACCGCGAGTGTGCTGGCAAGTGCTTCTTGTTCACTGATACATACGTCTCATGTTTCACGTCTGTAATATTAATTTACATATCCTTCCGTTCCAGATGGACTCATACGCGGAGACACCGAATCGTGTGATTGCCCTGTTCCATGCAACTTCACCGCCTTCACGACGTCGCTCTCGACTGCATTCCTACCAAACGAGAAGATACTCCCGATATTGTTGCTGCTACTCAACAACATATCCACCAGTGACGAACGCAACGTGTCACGGTCCATCTCCGAACAGCAAGAGTACATACGGTATAGCTAGACAGCTTGGGCGGTGTTGGTTCCAGTGACAACTTATCGAACTAGCGCACAAGAATCCAAAGCATCTTTAGACTACTCCGATTAGACGCCATAACTGCGGTGGCACCGCACTCACACGCACATTCTTTAGCTTAACACGCGCGTACATATGGCAAATCACGACACCCTATTGGTCCAAGAGGCATGTAACGCGCGCGTACCACCTGTCCACGAGCGTTGTGCCATCGCAGTAATGGCTTCTAATTCAGGTGGTCGAATTACACAACAGAGGGCTACATGGCTGGCATCTTGCAGGTTTCACGAAGGACGTTTCCTTATGGAAAAAAAAGAATTGCCCCTGCAAGATGACTCTTCGCGTATAACTGCACGTTTGGGCAGACGCTATGGTTCACAAAGATTTGTTTGGATGTGAGGATACTTCATGTATACTCTTTTAAATAACATTCGACCAGATGATCCCAGGAGTATTTCGATGTAAAATTAGGTCACATGATTAATCTTGGGGCATTTTTACGCTTCATAACTTGTGGTTACTCTTTCACATGCAGGAAGAACTGGGTTGCGATAGATATATTTTACGAGGACATCAACTACCAGAAGTTTGAACAGACAGAAGCTATAACCCCGTCAGCTTTGATCAGTAAGACTCGAATTTATCAACACATGCAAGAGAAAAAAATTTCATTTATAAGCACCAGACTGGGCAGGGACAGTCCCACAGGCTGCACGCAAGACTCATTACCAGCACACTGTCGTAGAAGGTACCTTCATACTTCCGCACAAACACCCCTTGCACAAGGGGTTTGTGCAGAAACCCTGTCAGACCGCAAGTATCTACTCCTAACCACGTTCAATTAACTCGGCAGCACAGGGGAGTTCAGACTCAGCGACTGCTGAAACCGCAGGGTATGCTGAACACACTATACAGTACATGTGTTTATGCATGCTCACAGTGCACATTGATCATGTCGGTGACCAGGATGGTATCAGAAGGCCGTTTCAACCTCTTCTCGTTTTAACCCGTTTCAAATGCATGATGTTTCGTCATGGGTGTGGACAGTTACTGTTAAAT